CTGGAGGCGCGAGGGTTCACGGAGCCCGAAGTTCTGAACGTGCCCAACACCGTCCAACTCCCCGGGGCGCCGCGAGACCCTGCCATGATGGAGGCGCGGAAGGAACTGGTCGAGAGAGTCATCAACGCGTCGCTGGACATCTTCCTGGAGAAGAGTCAGGAGGCGATCATAGCGGCCATTTTCACGTCGCAGAGGATGCAGAACGCGCTCAGGGCCTTTGAGGTAGGACGAGGTTTCAAGGTTTTTTTTTTTATTATTATTTCATCATTATTATTATTATTATTTTAGAGGGAAGGTGTTTTTTTTTTCTTCTTCCTTTTTTTTGTGAAGGGAGGGCCTCTTTTTTCTTATTTTTTTAGGGGGGGGGATTTTGAGGTAGGTCGGGGTTTTCTTCTTCTTATCCTTTATTTTTTTCTTTTTATATTTTCTTTTTCTTTTTTTGGGCTTTCGAGATAAATCGATTTTTCTTTTTTTTCTGTCATTTTTGGCTTCTTTTCTACAATGTATATACATGTGTATATAATATATGTATTATATATACATAATCTATTTTTCTTTGTTTTCGTTTGTCTGTTTCTTTTTGATTACTTTTTTTTTCTGTTTAATTATTGTCATACTTCTCCCTTTGTTTAGATCCGTTTTTATTATATTTCATTTCCTTTCTTTGTTCATGTTTGTTTACTCTCGTTTCATTGTTATTATTTCTATCAAATTATCTTTTGTCTTTCCTTCGTCTCATCGCCCTGACAGCAATTAAGATCAATTCACTCGTAATTTGCAACAATTACCTACCTCGCCAATCTCCTACCATCTCCGGCATAGTAACAACGTATGAGCTTAGTCAGTTATTAAATAGCTTGTTAGTGTCTTGTCTTCCAATTAGTATGCAGCAGGAAAATTAATGTCTATTTATCAATGATGACTGATGATTTACTAACTGTTTTACTACTAATGTTGTATGATTCATCAAATTGTTAATTTCTCATCGGTTGTTAATTAATATGCAACGGTTCTTTTGATATTTAATTTCTCCATTAACCTTTCATCAAAATCGAAAGAGCGATTGAGAATATTAAGTTTCATTCTTAATCCATTTCATCTTAATATCAATGTTTTTTACCATCAAGAAAAATTTAATCTGTATTTTCGTTTTCTTCATTAAGCCGATAATCTTAAGAAATGGATAATGTAGATATTGATATCTAATCCTTGATAAACTTCTAAACAACTCGTATACTATTTTTTTTTTTTCCATCTCACCGACTTCCAAAATTTGTGCAAAGGCCATTTTAAACTTTTTTCTCTCTCTCTCTTCCCATAACTTAATTCACACGTTAATATCCCTCTTCATATTCCAAACTCTCTCCAGCTAAAACATTTAACTAAAACTTTCTCTCCAGTGTAACCAATTCCTCAGCAGCTTAATCGTATTTAACATTATAGCTCCATCTTCAGCAATTTTAACATTTAAACTCTCTCCAGCTTAGATACCTTTAACATGAACCGTATTCACGTTGACAAATGTAGAAAAGGTATGAATGAGAATGAATATCTTTATGTACTTCTGACGAAGATATAATCGAAACCGGTCAAATACATCTCTTGTATTGTGAAGATATTCTTTCTCATTCATACCTTTTCTACATTTTTTAACATTCTGTCTCTCTCTCTCCAAACCTTTCTCTAGTTAATCATTTAAACAATCTAACTCCCTCTCTCTCTCCAGCTTAACCACTCCCTCTGCAGATTAATATATTTTTTACATTTTAGTATTTTTTTTTTTAGGTTTTAACTCCCAATCCAGTTTAAATCCTCTGTATCATTTTCAACAATCTACCTCCCACTCCCCCTCCAGCTTAAGCATTTTTATCATCTTAACATTTTAACATCTTTATTATTAAACTTCTCCAGCATAATTCTTTTTAACACTCTACCTTCTCCAACCTGAGCATTTTTAACATCCTACCACCTGATCCTCCTCCATCTTAATCATCTTTAACATTATAACTTTATAACATATTTAACATTCTAAATTCTAGCTCCCTCTCCAGCTCATCGTCTAACATTCAAACATATTTAACTTACTGTATGCTAACTCCTTCTCCAGCTTTAAACATTCTAACACATTTAACATTCTAACTCTCTCTCTCCAGCTTAACTACTGCCACTGCAGCTTTTTTTTTTTTTTTTTTTTTACATTTTAGCTTTTTTTCTAACACATTTAATATTCAAATCCCAATTTAGCTTAACCACTTCTTCTACAGCTTTACCACTTTTATTACTCAACCTCTCATTGTCTTTCTAACTCAAGCATTTTTAACATCTTAACATTTTAACATCTTTTTAACATCCCTCTCCAGCATAATTCATTTTTAACATTGTGCCTCCAACTCCCCCTCCAGCTTTATCATTAACATTCTAACATTATAACACAGTTAACATTCTAAGTCCATCTCCAGCTTAATCATCTCTAACATTCCAACATTCTGGCATTCTAACTCCCTCTGCAGCATTCTAACACATCAAACATTCAAACTCCCTCTCCACCCTCCCTCTCCATCTCCAGCTCAATTTATCTCTAACATTCCAACATCCTAACATTCTAACTCACTCTCCAGCATTCTAACACATCAAACATTCGAACTCAGCATTTTTTAACACCCTACCTCTCCCTCTCTCTCTCCCCAGCTGAGTCGCGGAGTCCAGCTGCCCACAGACGACGAGCTGGGACTCCTCAGTCGCATCGTATTAGCCGAGTGGAGGAGACATCTGTTCAATCTTACGGCTCGTTATCATGCTATCATCACGCGCAATGCCCATGGGTTTAAGGTGGGTTCTGGTGGGATGTTGTTTTGGTGGGCTTCGGATGGGTTTGTGGTGGGAGTGGGTGTGTGTGGGTTGGTAGTAGGCTTGAGGTGGGGGCGGGTATTGGGTAGTTGGTATGGGTTAGATAGTGGACTTCTTACTAAGGGGCCATCCCCCTATCATATATAGATAGATAGATATACATATATAATGTCTGTGTATGTGTGTGTGTGTGTGTGCATGCTTGTATGTATGAATGTATGCACACACACACATATATATATACAGTAAGTCCCCAACTTAAGAACATAATGGGGACCGAGAGGCTGTTTGTAAGTTGATTTGTTTGTATGTTGAAAGTCGGGTCTCCATTACCTTTTTTCCCATTGTTTTAAAGTTTTGTTTACATTACATTAACTGTAAATAAATCCCAATAAGTACGACATACTTTATACAGTACCAGACTCTTGAACTATATCCATGCCTGGGAAATTTGAAGATTGGTAGCGTCTTTCAAACAATATTTTGGACTTTAGTATTTAAAAAAATTGGTTTGTATGTATGGAATGTTCATAAGTAGAATGTTCTTAAGTAGGGGACTATCTGTATATATATATATGTGTGTGTGTGTATATGTGTGTGTATGTGCGTGTGCGTCTGTGTGGATGTACATCTGTGTGTATGTGTATGTGTGTGTGTATTTCAACATATTCAAACGCCCTCTCTGCCCTCCACGCAGACGGAGGAGAAAGAGCGAAGTGAATTCTGGTCGAGTGAGCTGCCGCCGCCCCCCCTGCCCTGGACCTTCTGGACGGCGCTGCTCCACGTCTTCTGTCTTGTGTCCACGATCGGTGGGTGTGAAAGTTCCTTAGATAAGAGATAGATAAAGATAATATACTTATGCGTTGATTAAAAAAGATTAGATGGAGTGATGTAAGAAAGATGGGTAGATTGGTATAGAAAGATAGAATGGTGAAGATTGGTAGGTCGTTTAAAGAGATAGATAAATATATATGTATATATATGTATTAAGAAAGATAGATTGGGATAAAGAGATAGATTGATTGGTAAAAAGAATAGATTAATATAAAAAAAATATATTAGTTGAAATAAAAAAAAAAAAATAGATTCATATAAAAAAGTACCTCTCTCACCCTCACCTCCCTTCCCCCCTCCTCTTCCCTCACCTCCCCTTCCTTCCCTCCCTTCCCCCTCACCTCCCCCTCCCCCTTTCTCTCTCTTCCTCAAACACAACCGTTAGTTTGCTTTTCGGCCAACAGGTGGCAGCATCGAGGCGGCGACGATGGGCGGGCGGACGACGACGGTTATGTATTCCGTTCTGGGCGTCTCGCTCTATGTCGTCACTGTGGTTGTGTGGGCGGCTAGATGTGGCGCTGTTTTATCTGGGATTCTCAGATTATTTGCGAAGAAAAAGGTTTGTGGGATATAGGGGAGTTATGTACGTGTGTGTGTGTGTGTAGGTATTTTTTCTTTCTTTTTCGTTTTCTTTCTTTTTTTCGGTTTTTCGTTTTCTCTCTTTTTTTCAGTTTTTCTTTTTCTTTTTTTCAGTTTTTCTTTTTCTTTCTTTTTCTATTTTTCTTTTTCTTTGTTTGTTTCTGTTTCTATTTCTTTTTGTTTTTTGTCTTTAGGTTTTTAATTGTTTTTTTTCTCCTTTTCTCTTTTTTTGTAAGCTTCAGTATCATCCATCATTGCATTATCATATCATATGTGATTAAAAATGTATGTTTGTGTGTATATGTGTGTTTGTGAGTTTATGTTTATCTTTGTTTGTGTGTGTTTGTGTCAGTGTGTGTGTGTGTTTATGAGCTTGGATCTGTGTGTTTGTTTCTATCTATGTGCGTAAGTGTGTGTTCCTTTCTGTGTGTTTGTTTGTGCCTGCGTGTCTGTGAGTTAGTATGCGTGTTTAAGCGTGTATAGTTTACCGAAATGTAGTTCACTGTACACGCATGCATAACATCCATACACACTCACACACGAATGCAAATCCCACTGTATACATCCTTCCACGTAACAACATACTCACACATACAACCACCACCGACCGCTCTATAGGTCAAAGGTCAGCAATTAAGGCCTAATTACCCCATCTAGGTTAATTCCGGCCGGTTGTGGGAGGTAATGAAACCCATCTAAGAATATATGAGTGTAAAACGCAACTTCTATGCGCTGGTTAGTAGTCAAAACTTTTTTTTTCGAAAATGAAAAAATAAAATAATAATAAAATAATGATAATAATGATAAAAGTTGAGATAAAAGTAAACGGAATGAGAATTTTCAAGTATAGTTTATTTACTGAACTTATATCTGTTATTATTTTATCTACTTACCAAAAAAGACTTTACTTATTTACTTATCTACACTTACGTAATAAATCCAAGTATACATCATTATATTATTGTCATTAACTTCACTGGTTATCAAGTTGCCAAGTAATTACTTTAATCCTTAGTAACTCTATTTACTTTAATCCTGGTCAGTAGTTACCTTCTTAAAACGCCTGATTCGGAGACATGCCGTTTATTATCATCGTTATGATTAGTAGTAGCATCTATTAGTGTTTTATAGTCATTATTATCATAAATTATCATAGTTATTATTATTATTGTCATGTATATTCATTATTATCATAAATTATCATAGTTATTATTATTATTGTCATGTATATTCATCATTACTGTCATTATCATTATTATTCATTATCAATGTCACTATCATTTTAATTATTATTATCATTATTCATTTTAATCATCTTGATCATCATTATCAACCTCTGTTTTCACCACCATTAACCTTTTTCATCATAAGTATCTCTGGCAAACGACCTATTAATAAAAACATGAATAAATTATATAAATAAATAAAAATAAATAAAAAAAGATCACCTAACTGCCAATCTCCCGCCGTAGGTTACGCCCCGCCCCCTTCGCTCTTTCTCCGAGGTGACTCCGCCCACGTCTTTCCCGCAGGTGGAGTCCTCGAGCGGAAAAGGCAGGCCGTCTCCTTACCGCAGTATGGACGAGCGACGCCCCATTCCGGCCCACCATTCTCTCAGAGGTCTTGTGACGATGATATTCTTGCTCCTCGTGTGAGTTGTTGCTGTTGTTGTTGTTTGTTGTTGTTGTTTTTTAATGGGGACAGGGGGGAGGGGGAAGTTGTTTTCTCTCTCTCTTCATTTCCTGTCCACTTAAACTGATGCTTTCTTTCTTTTTCTCGCTTTATCTTTCTCTCTGACTCTCTCTCTCTCTTTCTCTATGTCTCTCTCTCTCTCTCTCTCTCTCTCTCTCTCTCTCTCTCTCTCTCTCTCTCTCTCTCTCTCTCTCTCTCTCTCTCTCTCTCTTCTCTCTCTCTCTCATTCTCTCTCTCATTCTCTCTCCCTTTTCTCTCCTCTCTCTCTCTCTCTCTCTCTCTCTCTCTCTCTCTCTCTCTCTCTCTCTCTCTCTCTCTCTCTCTCTCTCTCTCTCTCTCTCTCTCTCTCTCTCTCATTCTCTCTCTCATTCTCTCTCCCTTTTCTCTCTCCTCTCTCTCTCTCTCTCTCTCTCTCTCTCTCTCTCTCTCTCTCTCTCTCTCTCTCTCTCTCTCTCTCTCTCTCTCTCTCTCTCTCTCTCTTTCTCCTCTATTTTTCTGTCTCCTTTCTATCTATCTATCTCATATCCCTCATCATCATCCTTTTTCTACATTCTCTTCCTCTTTCTCTTTCTCTTTTTAATTCGTTTATTCTTATAGTTTTGCTTAACTAATGATACATCTAAGATTTGTTGAATAGAAAAATAAATAAATAAATAAATGAATAAACAGGTAGATAGATACAGATACGTATATATATATATATAATGCAAATTTGGAAGTTTAACTTAATTGCGTATTATTAATGTTTTCTTTTTTCTCCCTTTTCACAGGTATGTATTAAGCGCGGGCGTGCATTTAGTGGGCGGTCGGGATTATTGGTGTGGTCTTGAGAATTCTATCCTTGTCTTGGTTACTATAAGACCGCCAACGCCTGTTCCTCAGGTATGTTCTCTCTCGTTCACTCACTGTCACTGACTTTGAGTTTCTCTGATACTCTCTCTCTTTCTCTTTTTATTTTTTTCTCTCTCTTTTTTCTTTCTTTTTTTGTCTCTTTCTTTCTCTTTCTTTGACTTTTGTTTCTCTCTCTTTTGTCTTCCTCTTCTTTCTCCGTCATTTTTACTCCACTTCTCTTTCTTTCTTGTTTTTCTCTCTCTCTTCTCTCTTCTCTCTTTTCTCTCTCTCTCTCTCTCTCTCTCTCTCTCTCTCTCTCTCTCTCTCTCTCTCTCTCTCTCTCTCTCTCTCTCTCTCTCTCTCTCTCTCTCTCTCTCTCTCTCTCTCTCCCCCCCCCTCTCTCTCTCTCTCTCTCTCTATCTCTCTCTCTCTCTCTCTCTCTCTCTCTCTCTCTCTCTCTCTCTCTCTCTCTCTCTCTCTCTCTCTCTCTCTCCCCTCTCTCTCTCTCTCTCTCTCTCTCTCTCTCTCTCTCTCTCTCTCTCTCTCTCTCTCTCTCTCTCTCTCTCTCTCTCTCTCTCTCTCTCTCTCTCTCTCCCCCCCCCCCTCTCTCTCTCTCTATCTATCTATCTATCTATCTATCTATCTATCTATCTCTATCTCTATCTCTCTCTCTGAAACAGACACTAACACCAAGAATATCCATTGTAACAAATGGAATCAAACTAAACCTTAAACCTCTCTCTGTCCCACTCTCCTCTCCTTCTCTCTCTTCCCACTCTCTCTTTCACTCTCTCCGTCTCCCTCTCCCTATCTCCCTTATCTGAGGATCGTAAACACATAAGAAAAACACTGAAACTGTGATCCAATTCAAACATATTTTAAAACGTGCTTTCATACCCCCCCCAAAAAATATATATATATATAATAATAATAATAATAATAAATAAATAAATAAATGGTAAAAATTATAGATATATTGTAATCAATAGCAATTCAGAGCATAATAAGCAGTGATAAATAAATAAATAAATAACCAATGTGGGCAAGAAAGTGTTGCATGAGCCAGACAGTATGACTCAAATAAACTGTCGTAAAAGTGAATTCCGTATTCTGGTCTATATTCCTTGTGTGTTGTGGCGAGATGGATACCGCTTCTTTCTCTGTCTTTCTTTCTCTATAGCTCTCGTTCTCCGTCTCTGTCGCTCTCTTTCTCTATTTGTCTCTCTGTCTCTCTCGCTTTCTCTCTTTCTCTTTTTTTTTCTCTTTCTCTTTCTTTCTTTCTCTCTCTCTCTCTCTCTCTCTCTCTCTCTCTCTCTCTCTCTCTCTCTCTCTCTCTCTCTCTCTCTCTCTCTCTCTCTCTCTCTCTCTCTCTCTCTCTCTCTCTCTCTCTCTTCTCTCTCTCTCTCTCTCTCTCTCTCACTCTCTCTCTCTCTCTCTTTCTCTCTCTCTTTCTCTCTCTTTCCCTCTCTTTCATTTCCTCAGTCCATTTGCACACCACATTGCGTTTCTCACTTCGATGACTTTTCTCGTATGTAAGTTTTTTCTTTTGTTCTGGGAAACGTCGATTATTCTCTTTCTGTGCTGCGCGAACGCTGAGTGAAAGAATCAAAACCAATATATATGTAATTGTGAATACTCTTGTTCAGTTGTGTTCAGTAACAGAGAAATGCCTTGTTGTGACTATTATTATTGTTATTATTACATCATCGACATTTTTATTATTTTATAATTACTGTCATTATTATCATTATCATTATCATAATTATGATACTGTTCATCATTATCATTATCATCATTATCATTACCAGTATTATTATTATTCCTATCACCATTACTATAATCTTTATTATTACCATTCTTGTCGTTTCTATAATTATCATTATTGCTTATACTAATCTCATTATTAATATAATTAACATCACTATTCATTTTTCTACCACTACTTTTATTTTCACCATCGCTTATCACTATTAACAAACCTTCATCAATGTCCTTATCACCACTAATGCAACCCTTTTAATTGCAGGAAAAAGCTGAAGTTTTGGGTTTCATTGCATTCGTGATGGTGGGTCATATCCTCCTGGCGTTACTCCTGGCTATCAGCAAGGTAAGATTGGGTCAGATAGGGTCACGTAAGGTCAAAGAGGGAAGCAGTTGAGGAGAGCTGGTTGGAAATACATGGAGAGGTGTTATCATGTGTTAAAGTGTGGTAGGTTTGCGTGTTAGATTTGGTTGAGATGGCTGGTAGTAGATTAAAATGGATGGATATTTGATAGATGGTAAATGTGGTAGGATAGATGATAGGTTTGGTGTGGTTGATATACTGATAGTTTCATTTTCAATAAATCTTTTTTTTTTTTTTGTGGGTTTTTCTACCATAGTATCTAAGAACTAAACTGTAGTTTCATTTTCAATAAATCTATTTTTTTATTGCGGGTTTTTCTACAATAGTATCTAAAAACTAAATTGTAGTCTCATTTTCAGTAAATCTAGTTTTTGTATTGTGGGTTTTTCTGCCATAGTACCTACACGGAAGAGTGTTTTACCATATATGGTGTTAGATGGTAAATGTGGTATGATTAATGTGTGATTTAGTATGGTTGATGATAGATAGATATGATAGATTTAGTATTTAGTATGTTTATTTAGTATATTCAGTTAGTATTTAGTATATTCAGTTAGTATTTAGTATATTCAGTTAGTATTTAGTATATCCAGTTAGTATTTAGTATATTCAGTTAGTATTTAGTATATTCAGTTAGTATTTAGTATTTAGTATGTTTATTTAGTATATTCAGTTAGCATTTAGTATATTCAGTTAGTATTTAGTATATTCAGTTAGTATTTAGTATATTCAGTTAGTATTTAGTATTTAGTATGTTTATTTAGTATATTCAGTTAGTATTTAGTATATTCAGTTAGTATTTAGCATATTCAGTTAGTATTTAGTATATTCAGTTAGTATTTAGTATATTCAGTTAGTATTTAGTATATTCAGTTAGTATTTAGTATATTCAGTTAGTATTTAGTATATTCAGTTAGTATTTAGTATATCCAGTTAGTATTTAGTATATTCAGTTAGTATTTAGTATATTCAGTTAGTATTTAGTATATTCAGTTAGTATTTAGTATATTCAGTTAGTATTTAGTATATTCAGTTAGTATTTAGTATATTCAGTTAGTATTTAGTATTTAGTATGGTTGAAGATATATACAT